CTCGCCGTCCCCTCATGTCGGACGTTCCCAACCCTGAACCCACGTCCGCGCCCCAAACTTCTTTCTGTGGAGTCAGAATTCTCGCCCACGGTGCCGTCCTGTCCGGAGCTCGCCGCACGGCCGGGCCGGGCCGGTCCATCACGAACCCGGGTCAGTTCCTCTCGCCCTTACTCGTCTGTCCCCCCCGCCGGCCCCTCTCCGTGGGACCCTGAGGGACAGTGCCAACCACCGGCCACTCAGCTCTGCGCTCTCCGTGGACCGTCCTGGACACCTCGGAAGGCAGGTCTTGCCTCCCCGGCCCGGCCCTCCAGACTCGCGAAAATGTGGGCCCCGACGCCCCTCTAGCAACTCCCTAAGCGACACGCCACGTCTGTCCAGGCCACCCTGAGCACCCACGTGGCCTTGGCAAGGGAGGAGACCCGCACGGAAGCCGCTGCATTGTCACGTGAGGATCCAGCATATCGTCCGGTCACAAAATTAATATATTGAAAGATTAGAGTAGTTACCTGTCTGACCGTGTGCCAGACACCCCATCAGATTTCACCTGTCAACTCTTTGTACCCTGACGACCCACAAAGCCACGTGTGGTTTCTGCGCCCTGCCGTGCAGATGAGAAAAATTAAAATACAAAGAGATTCAGCAACTCGCCTACATCACGGCGTAAGGCAGCCTCACGATGTAAACTCATAGACAGCAGAAAAACTTACACGCTTTCTTACACGCACGCAAGCAAGGCCCCGTCAGAAGACAGAATCAAAATACAGACTCTATTTCCAAGAGCAAACGAAAAGCGGAACGTCTTAGAACAAACGGACTGATACGAAATGAACACGAGCAGCATCGAGATCATCGTACCATCTACTGCGAGCACGGGCTTCGTTATTAGATGCCAAAAAAAAAAATCAGTTTTTAAAATACACGGACCCAATAATGCATCGATTCCATGCAATTCCAATTAAAATGCCGAAAAGGGGGAAAGGGAATCTATTCGAGAAAAAGCATCAGGACGACCGATTCGCCATCTGGAAAGAAAGAGAGCTTAACCTCTGCCTCGCTCTCTCTACCAAAATTCCAGGAGAACCAAAAAGTAAAACGTAAATGAAAACGTGAACATCCTAGAAGGACAGGCAGCATTTTTTTAAAAAGATCTGGAAAAGAATTCGGCGTTTGGAGGCACGGCAGAGAATCAAGAGTCTTCACAGAAAAGACGAACAAATCTGAAATGTTCATGTTTAAACCGACGTCTGAACGTGGCAGACTAGAGTTTCGCTCTTGACCCGGGGGCCTCCCTGGGTCGGAGATGCAAGTCCACGCCTTGGGGAGCCTCCTGAGACCGCGGGTGGAACACCGTCCTCGCCAATGTGACCTTGGCCTTGGGACTCCGCGGGCCACAGTGGGTGCAGGTGGCCATCACCTCCAAGGCCTCAGGGGGACATCTCAAGTCTCTGCTCGCCCTCTGTGCTTCCGGCCACAAGAAGGACACGGGCCAGATGGCCACTGTCCCTTCAGCCTGGGCCCCAGAATGGAACATGGCACAGACCCAAACCCAACCGGAAGCCCCCAGTCCAAAGTGGGGCCACCCCAGCTGACCCACAAACCCAGGGGAGAAAATGAAGGCTGGCCATTGCTCCCCACTGAGTTTTGGGGTGCTTCTTCACGTGGCACTATCACGGCAAGAGCCAAGGGACACCTCTGTGGTTTAAGAAGAACTCAAAACCGAAGACCAATTACAAATGGGAAAAAGACTTATAATACATCCAGTGGACAAAGGGTCGTTTTAATTTACAAAGAGTTCGCATACGTTAACAAGAAAACGCCATTAAAAAGAGGCCGGGGTGACGATAGGGTGTTCGCGCTTTTAAGAGACAAAAGACAGAAAAAGAGATACTTCAACCGATGCCAGTGTTTTCAAAGGAAACCAAAACAGCTAAATAAATACTTCTCGTCAGCGCGGCGGCCAGAGCTTGGGTGACGTCTCATAGAGCCCAGTGGTGGCAGGACACGTGGGGAAAGTGCCCCTGAGCCCAGTGTCACTGCTGCTGCTGGGCACTGCCCTCGCCTGCCCAGGGGCAGCTTCATCTATCACCCGAGCCCGAAAACGCACACGCCCGAGCCCGGCGATCTCGCCGCTGGGAGCCAAGCCTGCGGATGTTCAGCCAGGCCGGTCACGGAACAGTCCCGCCCCCCGTGGACACGGGAAAAGGGGGACCGGCCTGAAAACTCAGGCCGGCGACGGCCGCTCGTGCCTTCCAGGGCGCGGGCGCAGCCCCGTGAGCGGGGGGGACACCTGTGACGGCCCCCGTAGCGGGGACAGGCTGGTCCCGCAGGCCCTGGGCTCTGGGGACTCCGGGCCGCGGGGCGAGTCCCAGGGCGGGGACGGCCAGGTGGCCACGGCCAGCTCCGCGCGGGCAGGGGTCCCGCTCTGCACTGGGAGCCGTGACGACTTGGGACGTGAAGGCGAGTGTCGGAGAGGAAGTCCCAGCAGGCCCGGCGCCTCCGCCCGCCCACGGGGGGGAACCTGGGCGGGCAGGTGACAGGCCCAGCGCCTCGGGTCCCGTGCCTCGGGGCGGGGACCGCGGGGGATCTTCGTTAGAAGTGTCCTCCGCACAACAATGAAAATGATTAATTCCATTAAAGCCACGTGAAGGGAAACGAAAGCCATCAGGGTATAATTCCGCCGGCGAATGCGCCTTGCACGTCCCCCGGAACAGCAGTGGGCGGCGGGACAAGCTGTCCCCTCACTGCCGGGCGACAGGGAGGGCCCCGCCGTCACCGAGCACGCGCCACGCCAACGCCAACACCTAACCCGGCTCCCGGAGGCGCCAGCCCCTGCTCCCGGGGCCGGACACTGCGTGCCCAGTCCTGAGTCTTCTGTGTCCCCCCGCTTCCGCCCCAAGCACATTCCCTTCTGCAGATTCCGGCCCATGGGGCCAGCCGACTGGACCCTGCAGGGTGCCCTGAATGCCAGGAAGGACTTCCACGCCACTCTCCCCTCAGGGCATCCTCTGCAGTCCGGAGCTGGCCACTGCTGCCCCCGGTGACCCTCGCCCGCCCTGGCCCTGGCGCCAGCCCCGGCCCCCCAGGCCGCACAGACAGGGAGCCAAGTAAGTCTCTCATGCTGGGGTCGGCGAGGTCCCGGGAGGAGGCAGAGGGCCAGGACGGGCAGGAAGGGGACGGGGGACCTGGTTCTTGAGGGACGGCCCCAGGGGGGCTGCTGGCGCTGCTGACCATGCCGCGATGTGTGCGGACCCCCCCGCTGAGGCTCGTCCAGAGGGGGTGACTCACACGGGGACCACGACTCTGGCCCGTGCCCACCTGTGGGTTGAGACACTTCTAGGACCTCCCAACGGAGGCTGGGGGCCAGCACCCCGAAACAGCTGTGTCCACCAGCCCCCGCATGCAGCTCTCACAGGCCCGGGCCTGGCTCAGACGCCTGGGACAGTCCTGCCTGGCTGAGGCCCGCCGTCCTGCAGGCGTGCCTGTCAGGATCCGAGACCACCCCTCTCCCCTCCCTGGCCCCCTCACTCTCGAATGCCACCAGGTGCGTCCCCCCGTCCGACTCCCACTGACCCTGTCCCAGCCCCTCCCTCCGCCCTGGCTA